ATACATGACATACAAGTTCTCTATCATTTGCTTTGAAATATTAAAGTTAAGCTGGTTTTCGCCAATTTTCATGATCATGCCGGTATTGTAATCATAGGCGTAATATCTAATTAAATTATAATGAGATAATAGACATTTGACCCAAAAACCTTGAGGTACTAAACTCCCTTGTCTGAAAATTTCCTAAACACACTAGGTGGGATGATGTTGCAACGAAGAGGCGCTAATCTGTGATACATGTAACAAAGATTATATTCTAAATATGGTTTAATCAGTTAAAGATTAACCTGAATCACAAGAAATAAGCATCAAAACATGTATCTTTTAACGTTTTCTGAATCATTACTTAAAAAAAGCCTTTTAATAGTATGTTTGTTTTGAACGATACGTTTGATTTCAAATTTGTATTAATTGTTTCATTGCGTGGACCCTGCGATCCACGCAGTAAACATATAAGCGAAGTTAATCCGGATGCCCTGGGCAAACAACAGGCTACGCATGCGCGATATTGCTAGAGAGTTTGCACCTTAGGTAACTTTCCCGTAGAATTATTCGCCCTATTCGGATTAGAAATTCATTGGCAAATCGCGCTTTTAAATCTGCATATCGCATTTACACATTTATTGGCAGATTCCATTTCCTCTCTTTTTCATATACTTTTATGCTAAACATTGATTCATGGTACATTTTAAGAATTAAGTTACAGAATATAGATACATGTAACTTAACAACTTGAATGAGAAACGTCACCCAACGGACAGAGATACATGTAGCTTTTAAAGCTTTAAAGTAGAGCAAGTTTTCACCGGCATCAGTTTTGTGCATCAATACTTGCAAAATAATTTAATATTTCAGCAATCTAATAATTGTTTGAAAAAGGTCTGTAGCAAGGGCTTTTAATGTGTGTGTGTGTTGGGGGGTGGGGGCTCCGACAAAATAAAAAAAACAAATCTGCGTACAAAGGTGTGCGACACGTGAACCATCAGATCTCCATTTTTCCAATGATAAATTTCTTCCGTATAAATCCAGAACAGGTGTCAAGTCCCAGCCAATATGTGTTACACGTGTAAAAATAACCCGATTTTTTTAAACATGTTAAAACTGACTAAACTAAAGATCGCTAATCGGAGATAAAATTTCACATTTTTGCTTTGAGACTACGATCAGTTATAAGTGGCAGATAATTTTAGAATAAGTGAACAAACCTTACATGAATATTCCCTACACCTAGAAAGTTTCTTAATTGATATTCAGTTAGAAAAAAACACGCATATGGTCCACGTATTGCAGTCCTTTTTTAAAGGACAGCAACTTGTTTAATAAGCACATCGGGTCTTTAATTCTTTTACGGAGGAATCAATTCAAATTATCATAATATAATGGGAAACAAAATCCGATTGCTTTGTTTCATTCTGTTTAATATTTAGAACTTGTTTCAATGTCCCAAACCAATTAAAATAAATTATTTTATTCATAAGTTGAGTTAATGAATCCCAATGATTTCGAAGTGATAAAAACCACAGAGTCAAAAGTATGTCTAAAGTAAATTTAGTAAGATTGTATACTCTTTTACGTCCCGCTCCAGAATATTTCACTGATATGGAGACGTCACCATTGCCGGTGAAGGGCTGCAAATTTAGGCCTATGCTTGGCGCTCAGGGCTTTTGAGCAGGGAGGGATCTTTATCGTGCCACACCTGCTGTGACACGGGGCCTCGGTTTATACGGTCTCATCCGAAGGACCGCCCCATTTAGTCACCTTTTAAGACAAGCAAGGGGGTACTGAGGACCTATTCTAACCCGGATCCCCATGGGGTAAATTTATCATGTGAAGAAGTATGCGAGACACTTTGCTGTTCATTTTGATTTATCATGTTTTTGATTTACTAAATTCTGCAAAGCAATGATTGCATGTGTAGAGCCATGTAAATTATGGACGATCACAAACACATTTCCATGCATCACTAAAAAATCCTGCAGACTTTTTTTTTAGTTCTCAGTTTGTTAAAAAATCTTAAGACGGATCCACCAAGCTTTAAATTTAATAGTTTCTCGACATTCTAACAACAGATGGTTGAAACAATATGTGGCATAATAAGTCCACACAGTCCACAATCTCCTGGTTGGGTACAATGGCTCTCTCAGTGTTCCATTGATGATAACTATCTGATTGTTAACAATCAACAATATGTTGGAAATTGGTACTTTTACAATAGATAGTAATACGGAAACATTTTTAAAGTCGACGAATTGTTCTTACCTCTATCGTTAGACATGCAGCCTCTACAGAAAAGGAGATACAAAACCACAAGAACAGTCAGGGCAACGATGAATGTGGTAACAACTCCAGCAATAATTGTTGCGGTATCATCATCAGGATATGTAGTGTTTTGTGACACTGACCTAAAATATAACTTGATTAAGGTGAAAGTGATTTTTTTTGTTAGTCTGAGGTAATTGTAGCCATTATATCCCCCCTTTTTTTCTCTGCGATAACTTTTGGAAAGTTAGAGTTAGCGGAGCTGATTGTTTAATAACTCAACCGGAATGTTAATTAGGCAGATCGATAGGTCAGGAGCTAAGGAGGCCTAATATGCATACGAATCTCATGCACATCTGTCTCTGTGTCTGAAGCCAAGGAGGCCAAATATGCATGTAAATCCCGTGCGGCTGCCATTGTGTTTGACGTCCGTGGCCGAGGACTATCGAAATTGGCATATGAGCCCTCGTTTAATTAAATTCTTTGTCTTCATTTTTAAAATCTACAATTTTATTTCACAATGAAATGGAAATATAAGGCTTCGCCCATTTTGCATAAATTATCCCTTGTGTCCAACTATCGTTAATGCCCTGCCATACAATACTAACTACACAGTGATTCCTTAAAAAGTACATATATATGTACACTAAACAAAATTACTAACGCACCGATTACTATTTCTTTGATTATTTAAAATTTGAACGCAACAAAATCTTAGCATATTATTTTAATAATTCATTATAATACTGAAAATAAAACATGATTTGTTGCAAACGTATTGAACAATTGAGTTGAGAACAGTTTACGAAACATTGGTACCCCCTATTATATGATATTTACACTTCAACATCTGGAATGGCCTCCATTTGCTCGGATAACAGTCACCATCTTTGTCTCATGGAATTGATGTAATTATGTAGGATATGGATATAACGAAAAGTAAAACAATACAAAATAAGAGCAAACACGGACCTCTGAAACATCAGAGGTGGAATCAGGTGCCATAGAGGAGTAAGCATCCCCTGCTGACCGGTCACACCCGTCGTGTGCTCCTTGTCATGATCAGGAAATAACGGAAAAATCCGTCGTCAATTCAGTGTATAAATAATGGACTAACAATTAGTATGAAAAACATCAGTCAGCATTTGACTCAATGATAAAGACATCTTTGTTGAACATTATTCCACTCTTTCAAAATGTTCCTTTGTAGTTGTGCAAGGTTTTGTTGAGCAGAAAGTCGTCAAATTCGCCTACCCACCTAGTCCCACAAATTTTCAATCGGATTAACATCTGGACTACACGGCGGCCATTCTTATACTCTGATTTTGATCCTCTGCAGCATTTCTCTTGTCGTTCTTGCAGTATGACACTGCGCATTGTCCTGCATGAAGACCATCCCGCGATTTGCCCATACATGTGGTATTACACAAGACCGCAGGATGAGATCCTGGTTTTCTCTAAGCATTCAAATTTTGATTTACGGTTATGGTCTAAGTCTTTGTGTGTAAAGAAATTCCTGCCCAGATCATCACAGAACCTCAACCAAACTAGCCCTTTTCTTTAACACAAGGTGCACTGTACCTATTGCCTCTCCTGCGATAACTCTTATTCTTCCATCTAAACGCCGTAAATTGAACCTCTTCTCATCGGTAAATAAGACATTTGCTAAATCAGCACGACTAAATCTCAAATATCATATTGCCCACTGCAGGCGGATCTGTCGATGTCTTTAAGTCAATTCAACACCAAGAAATGGCCGTCTTGTCCGCAAACCAACCTCACTAAGCCGATTTCTCACTGTTTGCGCACAGATGTTGCGTTGATGATTACCAATAGACATCGCTGATGTTGCAACGGCTGTGGTGCCTCTGTCTCTCAAATCAGATAATGCCATGTGTCTGTCTTGTTCCCTAGTAGTTATCCAGCATTTTGGAATTCTTGCTGGGTCCCCCACACTTAAATCCGGTTTGCACGAATTTCGGGTACAACCTTGCAATTGGCTATCTAGACAGACATTTTTGTCATGAAATAAGCTTGCTGCATTATGTTTTAGCCAATATCATTGGCAATCGTTAAATTATTTACATTTTAACCTGCATTTTTTCCTTTAAAGGAACACTTTGCAGAGACCATGCCAACTGCCCTGCCACGCTCTTCTGCGGCCATACACCGCATACCCCGTCGGCTTTTTTTGAGTTTTAATGAATGCATGCATTAATAATAAGAACACAAAAAAGATAAAGATTTATTCTACAAAAAAGCGTGAGCACGATATTTAAGCATTTCTAAGGAACAGATACGCGTCAGTCAACATTGCATGCATTTATCCGTTTGGGCATTTAAAAGTGTTTAGGGGTATGAAATCTTAATTTTTTAGGTGGTGGGTTAGCAATTTTGTCCAGTGTATATGCTCGGCGTTATAATGTTTAATAAATCCATATAAATGGCGTTATACTGTTTAATAAATCAATAAAAATATAAAAAAATGAATAAAGATAGATAGATAAAAAAATAACAGCAGAAATGAAAAAAGGTATACAGTCGGAAAAAAAATAAAAATGTCCCTTACATTGAATTGTTTGGACAGTTTGCATTTGCCAGATAGCACCCTTTCTGTGGATTAATTTCTAAGCAGGTGGGATCTGAAATATTGATTCGATGGAATATTAATCAATGCGATTATCATATTGGTTCTTAATCTTTTTTAATTTATATTTCATACAAAAAAAAGTAATGATTACATTTGTACACTTCATTTGTATTGTAGGGATCTTTTGGACAACCACTGAGAAATGTTGAGCAGTTTAGAGCGTCCAGATGTCCAGTGGATACAGCATAAGGACACAAATCTTTAATTTAGATAAATCATATCTATGTTAATTGTTACATGAACAGCAGTAGAATAAAAATACAAATTACAATATTGTTTAATTATATTCAAAAAGAAAAGGCTGACTTACTTGCTCCATATCTGCCAATACTCCCTTGAAGACAAAATTCCACAAGTGAAGATCTGTCATCATTAGGTACACACTGGTACAGGTTCCTTCCTAGTGTATCATTAGGACACTGTAACCTTATGCCATTACCCAGCCACGAACTGGCGTTTGTAGGACATGACGTCACTGGTTTTAACTCCACGTTCATTTCCTCAATAATCTTTTTTATTAATCTTGATCAATCATTTAATTGAAATCACCTAGGAAATAAAAAAGAAAAAAAAGTAATTTGGTTTTTATAAACTGTTTTATTAAGATTAAGGACAGACTTTCCTATGAAAAATCCCACTTTCAGATAACATATACTTATGCCTAGGTCACATTTCCCGGCCGGTAGCCGTAGACCGGTGGTAATCGATAGTAATCCGTGGTGTTAACGATGCCCCAACATCGGTCCACATCGGCCCAGTAGTCCTTAAAGTATCGGTCACATTATCCAGCGATGTGCATACGATGGGCAACCAATGCATTTTATGAGAAAAATGGCGTGGTTGCCGGTCGGATTTACAATGGTTCAGCGATGCATTGCTAAGCATAAAACGATGTTCCAGGATAATCGGCCGATGTATATTACATCCCTCATACATTGGTGAACATCGTTCGTACACCGGTTGACTACGGGCCAATGTTTGGTCGAACATCGACCAATGATCGGTCGTTATCTGTTGAACACCACTCAACCCCCGATGACCTCATATTCAACGGATATTGGACGATGCTCGGCCATACATCGGCCAATCCTTGTAAGATGTGTTAATGATGGGTTGCCGATGAGGAGCGATGTGAGGCATCGTTGGAGACATCGCTGAATTTTAACTACGAATTATTTCCTACCGATGACCCCACCGATTCGCAAAATAGACTCAGTCACCGTCCGATCACTAGTGGTGCCCGGGCGGCAACTACGCCATTTCCATCAAAAAACGCATCGGTTTCTCATCGTATACCCCATCGTTGGATAATGTAACTTATACTTTACTGAATAATGTCCTTTCCAAAATAGCTAAAACCTTATTGTAACGAAACACATGCATGGAGGATCACTTTTCAAAAACCATTTCCCGAAAAATTCCCCTCCCACTCAATTTTACACATTCTTCGAAAAAAAAATTCACGTAAATTGTTTAAATATCTAGAGATATAAAACAAAATGGGAATAACAATTGAAAGATGATTTGTTAATCATTCCTAGCTTTACTGATAAATGAAGTGTTAAAAAACGAATATCTTCCGATGCATACAAAAAGCGTAAAATTGCCATACTAAATGTTACAATCTGTTGATGCAAAATAACCTTACCGAACATACACTGTATGTGATAATTAACTTGAATGTTCAGAATTTGGAGTAATTTCGATTGCATGATACAAAAAAATATTTATCTTTGTTTCAATGTCTTGCCTTCATTGTCGTGTATTAAATGGTTTATAAACATATTTGATTTATCATACATATAATATAAGCCTAAGCTATCATATTTAGTAATCTGCAATGGAATTCAATGGTTGAATATATCACTCATCGTGGGAATTCTTTTCAAGCACCTTTAGATTTCTCTCATTTTTCTCAATTTTTTACGTCACATCACATCTCAAAGTTTTAAATTGCATCTTTTTGCTAAAGTGCGCATCGAAGCATACAGAAAATGATACCTTTTAATAGGACGACTGGTTGCATTAGTATATAATTGAAAACACACACACACACACACACACACAGAGAAACTTTTGCACATATGATACTGCAAGGCAGCGGTATGTCTGTTTTATGCTTAAAGAAAAAAATGTCAAAAAGATAAATCAACAGTTCAAATTTTACTTTACTATAAATATTTCTGTAACAATGCCGTAAAAAGAAATGTGCGAAATGTTTGCCCCATAATCATTAAAATCCACAGGTGTACCTTCACATACCCTAAACAAATAGGCAAACACAAAGGACAATTGTTTGCAGCCACTCTAACTAAAAAAAAGTAAGTCTGGGTTAGAAAATAAATACAATTGAGAAATTCTTAATGAATCGAAACATGTACAGTGTACATGTATGACATGCGTGGTGCTGTCTCTTTCTTATTCTTCTCTCTCTCTCTCTCTCTCTCTCTCTCTCTCTCTCGTGGATTATCTTTGTTTAAATTAAAATGTGGAAAGTAGCAAAGTAAAATTATGCTGATATTTAAAAAAAAATATTCTTTGTAAGAATTGCATGGCAAATAAATCAACCGAAAAAAAGAGTTGTTTTTCTATCTTTTAGATATCTAAAAACGTGGCCTATTATAGCATCCACAAGTCAAATTTTAAATTTAGTATTTACCACTTGTGTTATATATCAAATCAAAGCTTATAAAAAATTGTTTAAGAAAAATATCATTTCGAAATTTTCTGGTCAAGCATTGTTACTAAAAATAGATTGCAAAATGTAAAGGTATTGTTCTAGTGTGTGACCACTTTTCTGAAAAAATACCTAGTAGCATTGAGGTCAAAACTTAAGGTAATGTATTCAAAATATAATCTCTCTCTTCTTATTTCCTTTGCCCAGAATCAGAGTTATTAAAGTTCAATTGCATCAAACACCTAGATTGACTTGAATCATTAGATAGTGAGAGTCTTCTTTCAGTGTAATTAATTGGGTCACATGGGACACGCAACGTTACGTTGACGTTATGCTTACAAAAAGACGTCAACAAATCCAATCAATAAAAATGATCACAAATTAATTTAAAACAAGATTTGTTTGTGAAACACTATGCGCCCGGCAACGACAAAATAAAAAAAAACTTTTTGGCACATATGTCACAGTCAAGGTCACAAGGCAATTGACCTGGGTGTCATTTGAGAGAACATGATTAGTAAAATATGGATACCAAAAATGAAGTCTCTATTTCTTGTGGTTCAAAAGTTATTGCAAAGGTTAACTAAAAACGAAAAATTTATTTTTAACATACAGGTCACAGTCAAGGTCACTGGGTTTTTTCATTAATTACTAGAAATTTGAAGACTGTCTTTATCCTTTTGTAAAATTAATCTTTGTGTTGGGCACAATGCTTGCAATTACTAAATTCAGTGGCGGATTAAAGGGGGTCGCATCCGCCCCCTAAAATTGTCAAAGTTAGCGTAAATCATAGTTTCGTCCAGAAAATGTAAAAATGTCTATTTGGTTAACCTCAATTTTTCCTACAAAATCTCTAGAATTCAGCTTAAACCAGACCCCTGCCGATTATGGGCGCCCCCTCTAACTTTAATTCCTGGATCCGCGCTTGGGATTTATAGAGAGTTGGAGTGATATCCACTTATCATATAAGGAAACTAAAAATCATGAATTTTTGTTATAAATTATTAAAAACAAAAAATTGTATTTTAAATTCTTCATACGAATACATTTGATACGATGCGGAGAATTGGTAATGAACTAGTATTAACTGGGAGCGTGATGTAAATCTTAAATTATTCCGATATGTAAGTGGAGACTTATATTCTGAATGACTAAAAAAACTAGAAGAATATCAGTCATAGATATGACAGCAGCATATGATAAAATCTGAAAAGAAAAAGGAGGGGGGAATTTAATTTAAAATTCATTTGAACGACATTTAGTTAAACATGTAGATCTTTCCTAATGTGTGTTAAAGGTTGTCCGATTTTTTTTTGTGCTCTCTCTCTCTCTTTCTCTCTCTCTGGTGTAAAACATTTGATTTGCCCCGCTTTTGCGAAAGCGATCGAGGTTTCTTTAAATCTTATTCGTCTGTCTGTTTGTCAGTAAGACTGTAAATCTGTTCGTATGTCACAAAAATTCAACCTTGGTCATCTCTTTAGAATTAGAACAGAGAAGAAATAGAATTTTATATTAGTCATGTGTTTAAACTGTGACAAGACCTTTTTAAATACACTACAAGAAACCTATATATTGTCGCAAGCGTCAAAAATCGGCCGCAAACCCAATTTTAAAAATTGTTCCTTTGATATAGTAATAAGAAACTGAAATTTGCGTGATCTGTTTTTAAAATTTCTTACTTTAATCTATTAAAATATCCTCGTGACATAAAACACATGCATGCGACATTGCCGATTTTCGTCATGCATAATGCATATACAATAAACTGTATTTGTATAAGCAAACTGTCCATAGACTTCTGCGTATCTGCACTCAGTTTGATACTTGTAAACGAACTCCGGTAGAAGTTTAATGCTAAAGTAGTTTTCGCAACAAATATAAAATATGTGGGGCTCCTCGCTCTCTCTTAGAGAATGTTAACACCCCACCCACCCAACTCCCCTTAAATCCACCACTACATTTCTTCTCTTTCAAGTCTCTGTCATGTTAGAGTTTGTCAATCAGGATTGGATGAATCATTTACACCCATTATTATAAAATTTTGATTTTATGATTATTGTGCTTTTTGTTAAACATTTAAAATAGCTTTTTTAAAATATTCTATATACTATAAATAACATTTTTATTTAAATTGTTCTAAGTCTGCAGAAACGCACGGCGACTTCAAACTTTCATATCGAGTAACCGACCGCCTCCTGGCGGCCCCTAATAATTTTTTACCTCATGACCTTGATCTTGAAGTTCGAAATGCTTTTCAAAAACTTGAACCTTGGTCATAACTTTTGAATGAGAAAAGATACAAAGTCACAAGCCACGGTTTGGCGTCCGCTTACTAGTATGTGATAGGATTGTACATTTTAGTCGTGGTTCGTGACGATGGAAAATACACTGTATAGAGCTTTCACATTTCATATGTATATTATCATTTCTAAATACACTATGGATATTGACCTTGTGACCTTGAACCTTGACGTTTGACATACTTTTCAAAAATGCAATTTCCCCCTTATAACTTCTGATTGAGAAGAGATAATGCTTTCATATTTAACATGTTCATTGATATGATTTTTGACCCCCTTGATCTGGACCTATATGTTTGACCTAATTTTCAAAAAATCAACTTTAGTTATAACTTTTGAATGACATATTACAGGGCGTTCATTTTGGAACAATATGCCATAAATAACGTAATATTACCCACATAGAGACAAACAGCCGGTAAAACAAATTAAAAATTTTGTCTATACACGTACATGTATAGCACATCGGTACATGCAGCACTTTCATCCCCATGTACATGTATGTTCACTAAATTAGATGTCAATGTCTAAGACATTTGATATATACTTTAAATTTTTTTTCATCACGTAAATGAAATTTTTCATAAGTGAATTTTTCAATCCTGTTTTAATAACCAAAAAGTACAATCTGAAAAGAGTCAGAAATGAAAATTTTAAAATGTCAGAAATGAAAACTAAAACATGTCGGCCATGAAAAGTTGAAACATCGAAAAAATTTCCAATCGGCAATCCTCGGCTGACTCCGCTAGGCTCCATTCAAACCTCCGAGGTGCAATGTATGAGCCGCCATAGATGCTCTCAGTGAAAAATACCAGAAATGCAGCTGGGGGACCACAATTTTGATTTCTTGTTTAAATTTTAGACCTCTTTGATGCGTCAGTAATATTATTTTGCCTATTTGATTTTTACTATTCATCCGTCTACCCATCCATATGTTCATATTCTACATAGGCGTCGAAACCGGGGGGGGGGGGTATAGGGGTTTTAATCCCCCCTTTTTTTCAAAGATAGATATTTTGAATTTATTTACATTCCTATTAATTAAAAAATCAGAAGGCTATATATTTTTCCTTACACTAGGTACTTATTTTCTTACATTTTTATTTTATTTCTTACTCATGATTATAATTTTTTATTGCATCAAAATTATAACGTCAATTTTACTTTATAGAAGTTTTCTTTTTCAGTCCTAATCATCTTTCCTTGTATATTATATTTTTGACATGTTTAGTTAGTATTTTTCTTAGATGAAAAATTATTATATTTAAAATTACCCCTTCGGGTACCCCATAAAAAAGACATCGAGAGTTATCCCCCTCTGAATATTTCTATAGTTACAGTAAACAAACTCCATTACAAAACAATATCCAGGGATCGTGGAAGGCGTGAAAATGACGTCAAATATCATTCACGCTGGCTATATGTTGTGTTGTTATTTGAAAGATCGCTTCTTAGCGCCGATGTAAGGAAAATAAATCTACACAGTTTCTTAAAGAGGAGAAGATTCTCTTTCGATCTATTATTGTAACACATATGCAACCGGTTCGTCAAACGGGTGAAAAAACTCTCCGAAAAAATACTTACATTTGACTATCCATAATCATAGCAATATACGAATCTGGCTAGTCGTGTTTGGTATCATTATATTCAGAATAATCAGCTGTATCTACCATTGTACAGAGAAATCTGAATATATCCTCTGTTGTCCTATAAACAGCGGAAAAAAAGAATGCGGTTTTTCCGACGCGCTAAAATCGTGACGTTTAATTTCAGAACATGCTTGAATATTTGATAGGAATTAAAACGAAATACAGCGATAAAAAATTATAAAATCATAATTTTTAGATTGTTTAACAATTTATCTTTACAGTTCAATTAGATTTTTTTAAGTTAGAGACACGAAAACGTGTTAAATACGCTTTTTAAAACTGGTAGTTTTGTATACTGTCACATAGCGTAATAAATAACGTTAAATGACTTGTGGATGCTACCTATTAGTTGATTGCTATGCTTATGACTGTTGTTATATTACCAAAGGCATTCCGCAATCAATAAGGATTTTTGCAATAAATGATATTCGATAAAAAAAAAATAAAAACTAAAACTCAGTTACTTACAATGCTAGCTGTTTTAGAACTTTGGTACTACCCTCTTTGTAGAATCTCAAAAGTACACTTTAAAGTTAAATAACAAGTTATTATATAATACATGTACATAATTGTTAATTAAGTTTCGTGTTTACCTCGTGATTAAGCAGAGTTTCTTTTATGACCGGTGCAGCAGTCTAATGTAAGCAAATCCGTAATAAAAACCATCGGACTTGATAACTAACAAAACATTCTTATTCTTTTGTGTTCCCAACACATATTATTATTGTAAAAAAAAAATGATTTCAGTCGATGACAAAGTTTCCATGCTTGCAATAATCATGTCTTCCAGTTTAATATCCATGTACATTACATTTATAACGCGCTGTACATGTACAATCGAGACACCCAAAATTGAAATTCAATTTATACGCCCGCCAAAATCTGTGTCTTACATGTACATCATAAAGATTCCTTAAAAGTGTGTTTTTTTTATATGTTTTGATCATTGAAATATATGTGCGTAAAAGTATAATTGTTTATGTTTTTCAAAACACGATTCTACTATAAACACAGAGGAGAATTTAATTAGAATTAATTCTTTTTTTACTTCCTGTCATACCTTCTAGATATCAACAACACAATTTTAAACTTATAGTAAATTAAACTACGTTACCTGTAATTACTTAATTTACCACGAAGCATTACATCCAACTCGAATCCGATCGAGCAGATACAACGAAGATAACCACCAATTCACTTTGAAATAATTAAGGCCTAACAGCAGTAATGATTGTGTTTTCTATAACAAACCCAAGGTAAATCTACTGTGGGTACAGATGAAAAGCTACCTTAGGTCATAACCATGAATATTCTAAATAATTATGTTTACAATTTAATCCAGAGCTGGAAAGCGAATGTAATATTTTCATGCGTTCTAGAGACACCAGTCATCTTTGCCTGATTTACCATTTGCTCTGTCTGTAGTATAGTGTATGGAGATAACAAACAGTTTTTTCAAGATCAAAAGTCCGTAAACAATACCAAACAGTAGCAGAGCAAACCGGAAAAGACATTCCGAAAAGTAAAATATTTCTATTGCTCGTATCGTGGTCATTAACGTGATATAATATACGAGTGATTAACACAAGTTGAAGGATCGAATAAAGTGCTGTTTATCAGTGGGTTGATATTTTTGGGTAATATTTTTCTCTATTATATGGAATATATTGCTACTTTTTAAAAATAAAAATAAATCGTCATTTTAATTAACGTTTACCTGTTCTGAGGATATCAGTCAAGATGTAGATGGTTTCAATGTTGAAATCCAACCCATTGTTAACTAGTTCTGAATGCTTTTACGGTCGCTTCTTTTCCTTTATAACGTTGCCATAGTTTTCTATTCAGCTTAGCACAAATATTGAAATGTGCAATTTTATGACAAGCCTACAGGTATTTTAGGGTTGAAGTATTTCTTGCACTTTTGCAGCCTAGGTCGGAGTTGTTTTTTAAAGACATTTAAATAGTTGTGCATGAACACAAGGACACTGTTTAGATCACGGGAGATTCAAGGGTGGGAAACTTTAATTTTTGTCCGGCTTTCCTTCTAGTGTTCTCTTTGTCTGAAATGTTAAGGCAGCACATGGATCAGAATTCGGCGAAATAACACTTTGCAAGTTTATTATTTAACCAAAATGTATCTAATTATAACAGGATTTAGAAATTTTGCGTGAGTGTTTTATTCGTTCTTGATAAAATTTTCATGAAATTTTCTCCGTCCTTTATGGAGTAAATGTAGCTGTCTCAATAATTTCCGAACAGCCCTCGTTCAAATAATTATTCAACAATTTCGGACGAAACTTTCCCAAAATTTTTACATTTGTTCATAACATCGAAAAAATGCATCAATTCCCGTAAATTCCCGTAAACCATACGATTCTAGCAGTACTTTCCGAAAACAAAAGACTAAGAGAGGAAAGGCTGATCTGCAAGTAAACACCCTCCCGGCTTTAATATTACGAAGAAATTGCAGAATTGTATCAGCCTACCTTATTCATACGCTTTATTCCCACAAGAATCACACATGATATTCATTCTAAATGCTTTTAAACTCCGATTTCTTTTGTTTGTTTACATCAATACTCGTTACTTTTCACTTTCACTGCCGTGCTACTGCATGATCAACAGTTATGACGTCACCGGTTTGGTATGTAACTCCTTTGATAACTACAGAGGCCCAGGAACGGCAAAATTCGGTTGAAATTATTCCTCTGCATATTTCGGTTCATGTTTACGATCTCAAATCAATCTTAGATATCGATTTTAACGTAGGTCGCGGGGTTGCTGACGTCATTAAAACTGGGTACGCAATTTATATGATTTGGGCGAATTTCTTGTGCACATCTGATTATGACGTCACGGTGAGAAAGGGAAAAATTCAGTACATTATCTATCTGTGACTTTCGTTGAAATTGATATTTTAGTGTAACATATTCATAGAACATACTGAAGTTATAAAAATAATGATGGCTTATTTTGATTCGTTTGACCATCAATGAAAGTGTTAGAAGCGTTTCATTACGTATCATCAATCGCATCTTCTCGGGTCTATTCTGAGAGCACATGTACTTGTTTCGGAAATAAATTTTAATCCTTGTATCATGTATGATTTTTAAATATTAAATACCGGTACATGTATTAAATGAGTATAATTTTAAAACAGGTTATCTAATATCTAACTCCGAATTAAACTCGATACCCCCTCCTCAGAAACGCACTCATTTTATTGTACACTTTCAGTGGAAATGCACTAAACAAACTGCATTGTCCTCTACGATAATTTACCTACACAACCATATATGGCATGCATGTCTTTGTTTTCATTTATTCCGTACACAGTGTCAAAACTTTGAAAGCCGAACTCAATTATGAAACGGTATGTGCTAATCTCAGACAAATCTATATAAAGGTTGATCACAAATTAAAAACTGCTTAGGAACCTCCGGGGTAATCGTAATGAAACATAAACTAAATTATATATATTATATATTCATTTTTTGAGGGGCATTGACCTCATGTAAATAACCACAGGCACGTAGGACATGACCCCGCAGCACTGTTAAGGCTTACTATGAGAAATCAACGGAAAATAAAAGTGCAAAAACAGGGGAATTTTTAAAATTGAATTAATTTCTATTCAGAAATTCTTTTATCACAGAACTCAAATACTTATGGAAATAGCATAGTATAAAATACTCTGTACTGTGTAGAGTTTGGTCCCATCGATGGACAGTCACGTGATGAACGCATAGCAGGTACACGGAATGTAGGTCAATAACAAATTTCAATATCGCAAGGGCATACCCTAATTGAAATTAAAAATTCAAGGCATTAATTGTATCTGTGTACTTTGTAGTTTCTGAAAAGTGCTGCTGCTTTGAATAGAATTCGCGTTTTAATACTTAAATAATTAAGTAAATAGGCCAATGTCGAAATATGTTAGAATTTTACCAAGTATTTTGTGTACTTATAAAATCACGGCCTCGATTTAAAGAAAGCAGCAGCACTTTTCAAGTTAAGGAATATTTAAAAAATGGTTCAGATCTATGAAGTGTATGCCCTTGCGAAAATACGATTTTATGAGGCACCTCGATGTAAAATATACGTAACCTGTACATAAAACACGACATAATTAATAAAATACATTCTCTTTGTAGTTAATTGACAATCGCACTAAACAAAGGCTATACATTGGTATTAATCGACTATTTAAAATCTGTAAATAATATTCCGTTTAATAATAAAACACATATTTCATTGATAAACAATTTCTCAATTTGCCTCTCACAGCACACGAAGTACGTCATTTTTACCAGTATGACGTCATGTTTACATGTTCATCGCGATGAGTGCTTAGTTTTTAACCAGCTACAAGGGATTTAAATAGCAACTTTTTTTAATGCATTGATAAGTTATAAGGTTGTTTATTATGCTAATACTGGTCAGTGTTGCAAATTATTTCATTTTCACGTATTATGAGAACAACATATATGTCATATTTTTGTGTGACTTCATAGTATACTTTTCCTGTATAAATTAGGCCCCGCCCCCTTATTCAAGCCTTAACAATGCTGCGGGCCCCTCTATCCTTTCCATTTTTTACTTCCTAACGCCTGGGGTGAGTAAACTTTTTCCATTTTTTTTTTTATTTTTACGCCACCCTATATGTGCACGTTGATTTAATCGAAATATTTACTAATCGGAGGCAAATAAAGAGTTATATAAATGGAAATCTGAAAAGGAAAAAGAGTGTTTTTCAAATTTATCAATGTCTGCATATTCCATGATTCTCTACGCTTTAGATAGTGATTATGCAAGTGAAGATTGTGAGGCAGACGTCGAGAATAAAAACAAATTGCAAGCCGTCTCTTTTTATGTATCAGTCGAAAACGAAAAACATGGTATTTAAAAACAGCATAGATAAAAGGCCTATTTGCTGCTTCTTTGTAAACAAAAACATTTTCAATATAAACATTGAATGCATTAATACTCATACTCGGGAAGGGGAGGGGGGGGGTTATTTGGCGGAAATTGATTCAGAAGAAGTTATTGTTGATTTGATACCGTTGCTGAATTTTCTAACGAAAAGGGATGTATACAAAGCGTACGTAGCAACATATTTCGGGGTTGAGGGTTAATTGGGGATGTTAGTAGTCCTTTACTTCTAAATTATCTTCATACCTACGACTTTTCAAACAAGCTTAGATCACAGATTTGCGATTTCAACAGAGATGGAGAGTCTGCCTTTTCAAAGGGGGGGGGGGGTGTACAAGGTCACTTTTATTTTCCAAATTCCGGCGAGAATCTGCACATGAATAAAAAGAAACGGTAGAAATAAACATAAAGAAAATAAAATTGTTGGTTTACGCCGTTTACGTGAGTTTTCACTAAAATTAGACAGAATAAGCTGATTCAAGGGGTAAATGTCTAATAGTTATTTTATTGAATTATTAATATGATACTGGTAATTTGAAAGCAGATATACATGAATTTCCTTTTTCTTAAAAACCGTATAATTTTTCTGTGCTCTGTATACCGGGTCGATATTCACGACGTCAAGCGTGACGTCGCGATATTTTATGACGTTGTTCTTAAAAATGCTACATTTGTCAATATAAAATCAATTATCTACAATTTAATTACGAAAAAATGAACCCGAAGACATATTAATTTTTTTTACATAGAATTATATCAATTCTACTTGTAAATATCAAAGGATAAACAAATTCGTCTGCACGATTTAAAAGTTATTGATATTTTTTTTAAATCAAAACCTTGCCTGAAAACAAGCCAAAAACGACGTTTTCCCTATACAATTCAATAGAATAATTTTGAAAATTTAACTACAACAATGACATCTTTGGAATTCAATTACACAAAAACGGTGCAGACGAATTTTATGAAATTTTCAGAGAATGGAAATCAATGGTAGAGAAATCATATAGGTAATTTTCATGGTATGTTTTCGAACACTTTTAAAAGCCCTGTAAACCCGCGACCTACGTTAAGAAATTGTTATCTCTAAATCTCATGTCATGTAGCTTATTATGACATCATATCATATAGACAAGTAGAATATTTGGTTGTAACCTTAACATACCTGTGTCGAAATATTGACCTGATTTCCATATATTTAACTTCAT